CTATGTAGGACCTTGTTGTTTATCTATTTTATATATATTAGTTTGTATCTGCTAATCCCAAATTCCCCATTTATCCTTCCCTCCCATCCCCTTTGGTAACCATAAGTTTGTTTTCTATGTCTGTGAGTCTGTTTCTGTTTTGTAAATAAGTTCATATGTATCACTTTTTTAGATTTCACATATAAGTGATATGGTATGATATTTGTCTTTCTCTTTTTGGCTTACTTCAATGTAGTATGACAATCTCCAGGTCCACCCATGTTGCTGCAAATGACATTATTTCATTCTTTCCTATGACTGAGTAATAATTCCATTTTTTATATGTATCACATCTTCTATCCAATATCTGTCGATGGACATTTAGGTTGCTTCCATGTCTCGGCTTTTGTAGGATGCTTCTATGAACATTGGGGCGATGTGTCTTTTTGAATTAGAGTTTTCGTCTTTTCCAGATACATGCCCAGAAGTGGGATTGCTGGATCATACTGTATCTCTATTTTTAGTTTGCTTAAGGAACCTTCATACTGTTCTCCATAGTGGCTACACCAAACTACATTTCCACCAACAGTGTAGGAGGGTTTCTTTTTCTCTACACCCTCTCCAGCGTTTACTACTTGTGGACTTTTTGATGATGGTCATTCTGACCAGTGTGAGATAGTGGTACCTCACTGTAGTTTTGATTTGCATTGATTTGCATGAGCAGTGTTGAGCCTCTTTTCATGTGCCTGTTGGTCACCTGTGTGTCTTCTTTGGAGAAATGTTTGTATAGGTCTTCTGCCCATTTTTTGTTGGGATTGTTAGTTTTTTTGATATGTAGCTGTATGAGCTGTTTGTATATTTTGGAAATTAAGCCCTTATCAGTCACAAATATTTTTTTCCATTCCTTAGGTTTTCTTTTCATTGTTTATGGTTTCCTTTCCTGTGCAAAAGCTTTTCAGTTTAATTAGGTCCCATTTGTTTATTTTTGTTTTTGTTTCTATTACTCTAGGAGACAGATTCCCCAAAATATCGCTGGGATTTATGTCAAAGAGTGTTCTGCCTGTGTTTTCCTCTAGGAGTTTTATGATATCCGTTCTTACATTTGGGTCTTTAATCCATTTTGAGCTGGGTTTTTTTGTATATGGTATTAGAGAGTGTTCTGATTTCATTTTTTACATGTAGCTGTCCAGCCTCGGTATATTTTAAAGCATGTTACGTGATACAGCAGTTACAGCAGTATGATACTGGCGCATAAATGGGTAGGGAGAATTAGGGTAGTTACAGACCCAGATACACCCACAGATTTAGTGGGTATTCAAAGTAGCATTTAAAAACAGCAGAGAAAAAATGTTTCGGGTCAGTGAATTTGTTGAGATAACTGAGTAGCTATCTGGAAAAAAAAAACTTAAATTGACTCCTTACCTCATTTTTTGTACACCCTCACTGAGTGAGTAGGTGGCAAGGCTTTGCCAAATGCTAACAGAGCCAATCAGAAGGCGGCATTGGCCACAGTGTCACTACATAGATAGACAGACAGAAACAGAGACAGAGAGATAGTAGACAGATACCATAAGAATACTTATTTTTTTGTAGCCAGGTCCTTGATGTAGTATTTATGCTCCACAATCTGCTTTTTGAAAAAAAGACAAAAAGCAAAAAGATACGCATGATGCTATTCATTTAAAATGCAGAACCAAAGCCCCTGAGTGGCAGCTGACATGGTTACTGGTTTGTGTGAAGAACTTTCTCCTTTTTTCCTTAACCTCCTCGTTGCTTAGGACAAAGAGACTCCATGATTTAAAGCAGAGGATGAGAGCCTGGCCTCCCCCGTCTCCTTTCTGAATAAGCCACCTTTGGCATCAGTAGTGGACTGGGGAGAGTAAGCAGAAACCCCCAGTCAGAACCTCTCAAACTCCAGTGCCCAGAGTTCTTTCCCTTTTTTGCCACAACCAGAATAAACTTGTAAAAGAGCCATAGTGAAGAGCAGTGTATTAGTGAGTGCGCGGGGGCCAGCGCTGCTGTAACGGAAACGCGATGAAAAGTGCGTCGCTGCTGTGAGCCGACGGGCGACAGAGGGGACTGTTCCCTTTTTACTCTGAACAACTGTACGAGTACTCCACTTATTTGCGGTATACGTTTTAAAAAATAATCTCTGACTAGGGATGCCCTTTCTAAGGATGACTTAAATCCCAGAGCTATTGAAAAAAAGAATTGACCTGAAATTTTACTATGCAGTTCTTTTTGTAGAAGAATGGCGACTGATGCAGGAGGAATGGTGGGTATAGGAAAAACACTCCTTGGCAGTCAGCACAGTAATATTTGCTTCAGCCAGCAGTTATCCGTGGGTACCCAAACAGTTGGGTGAAAGACTGTGAGGGAACAGGATAGTCATAGAATTTAAAAAATATCACCCCACAGCAGGGGAGGGTACAGCTCAGTGGTAGAGTGTGTGCCTAGCATGCGCGAGGCCCTGGGTTCAGTCCCCAGTACCTCCATTAAGAAACAAACAAATAAGTAAGCCTGATTACCTCCCCCCACAAAAGAAAATCACCACACAGGTCACCAGTTAAAAACAAAGGGAAAGGAGAGAGAGGTACCCTCACAGTGGAAGAACCTAGCAAATACCATCCTAACCCAGGGACTAAATTTATCACCATCAGTGATTGACAGACTGAACCCTTGCCTTTTTCTGTGATACGCTGAAAAGGCCACAACATCATGTGCTGTTCCCCCCAAAATGTCTACCTGAGTCTAATTGTGAGGAAACAAGTGATTGTCCTGGTCCTCGATTAGGTCCTGAATTTAAGGAGCTTAAAAAAAAAATCTCAATGATATTACTGGGGAATTGGGTGAGTTTGGGTGCAGACTGCACATCAGTAGCATTGCGTTCCTGTAAGGGGGGCCACGGTGGTTAGTAACATGGGAGACTCTGCTGTTCTTAGGAGACACGCTTCAGTCATTCAGTTTAAGGGTGAGGTGTCCCCATGTCTGCAACTCACTCTCACGAGGTTCAGAAAAATGTGTAAATCGTGTGTGTGTGTGCGTGTGTGTGTAATGTGTGGGCATTTATATACCTCGGGAGAGATCTGTGGTGTAAATCTGGGAAGATGTTAACAATTGGTAAATCTAGGTTAAGGTACAAGGCTGTTTGCTATAGTGTTGCCAGTTTTCTTCACCTTTGAATTCTTTTTAACATAAAGTTGGGAAATTGTCTAAAGTGTAAAATATTATAAATAAAGTAAGCTCAAAATGGGAAATAATACTTGCAAACTATGTGGTATAGTGTAGATTTCCTTAATACATGAAAACAGGAATATTCACAATCCAATGGAAAAATAGGTAACAGGACGATTGGGCTCTTCACAGTCAAGATAAAGAAATGTTTAACTTGACTCACAGTAAGAAGCATGCAAATAAAATCAAAATACAGGTTTTAAATTATAAGACTGGCAGAGCTCAGGAAGGTTTACAATATGCTGTGTGAGGAGACACAGGGGTGAGGCAGGTGGTAGTCACTTCTGTACTAAGGGTGTGAGTGTGAATTGTATAACCTTTTTGGAGGGTAGTAAGGGTTAAAATTTTTAATCCATGCCTTCTGGTTCCAGGGGTTTATCCCAAACGTTCACCTATGTGGGTGCACAGAGAAGTCTGTATAAGGATATTTGTTACAGGATTGTTGTAATAGCAAAAGACTGGGAGCAGTTTAAATGTCAATCAAAGGGGACTAGTCAGATAAAGGACTGGGTATCCCGGCAGTGCGGCAGCCACCCTGCGCAGCTGTACAAAGAGTGGGGCAGCTTCAGAAGTACTGCCTGGGGGGGCGGAGGGTACAGCTCAGTGGTAGAGCTTGTGCTGGGCACGCGTGAGGTCCTGGGTTCAGTCCCCAGTGCTTCTGTTAAGGCAAGGGAGGTGGCTTACTGTACGGAATAAGGCAACATCTCTGATACGCATCTTTTGGTGAAGAAAGCAAGATGCTGAACAATTTATAATGCAACAGAAATTTTTAAAAGGCTGGATCTGGGTGTTGGTTACATGATCGTGTTCACTTTGTGAAAATCCATCAAACAGAACGCTTAAGATATGTGTACTTTTCTGTGTATATAACATATATATTAAGAGCTTAGAAAGAAATTCCAAAAGGGGGAAGACCATAGGTACGCTTAGGTATACAGAAAGCGTTTCTAGGAGGATGTACAAGAAGCTGTTAATGTTGGCTCCCAGTCGGAAAGGGTGTTGAGGGATAGAGACAGAACAGAGGCTTCTAGGTACTGTATTTCTTTTCCTATGTGTATTACTATTAAATAAGGAATTTTTCATAAAAAATTTATAATACTATTTAAATGATAGCAGCAAGGTACAGAATGTGGTAGGGTTCTGACTACATATGTGTATGTGTTTATGTGTGAGTAATATATATGTAGTTGGATGAAGACTATATACATATACCTTTATCTGACGTATGTTTAAGAAAGAAAGAAATGGGAGGAAATTGAAAGTTAAGATATTACCAGATTTTTTTAGGTGATAAATCTGAATTTTTTTACTTTTCCTCTGTACTTTTCTGCATTTTTCCAGGTTTTCTGTAGTAAGATTGCAGTATTTTTCTGATGGACAAAAATTATAATACGATTCTTTTTTAATACTTGATCTTTGTACCTGTAGGGATTGCTCTTAGCTCTTAGCCCCTTTCTCACTCCTCTCCCCTCAAAAAAATTGAAAATTCCACAGGTGTTACTGTTCTGTTATCAGTATGTATGAAACATGAGGCTCTAAGAATATAAAGATGGGCCGGTTAGTTACATCATTGCAGGAGGAACAGGTGCCATCATGCTGGAGGGGCATTCCAGAGGGAAATGTCGTGTAGGCGCACCCTCAGGCCACGGTGCCCTTCTTTTCCCATTGTCGCAGCGTGTAGTCTTGTTTCAAGCGGCTGTTTTTCTGTAGTAGGTGTCCTAGACCATTTCAGCCGGGCGATATTTCACAACCCTCTTTCTGCTCCTTTTTTATTTTCCGTATTTTAGAATAACTGCACAAAGACTCGCCCACTTGAACAAGTGCTTGATGAACTTTAAGCTGGGGAATTTCAGCTATCAGAAAAACCCTCTGAAGTTGGGAGAGCTTCAGGGGAATCACTTCACTGTTGTTCTCAGGTAAAGAGCTGCGGGTGGGGATGCAGAGCACAGAGGGGCTTGCGGGCACCTCCAGCTGTTCGGGACAGTTGTCACTCCCAGTGAGCTGGCCCTTACCATCATGGCAGCAGGGGGGAGGTGGAGTGGGGCGGCCCTTCAGGGCTGGGAGAGCAAATACAGCTGTGGTGTTCATACCAAAGCACCCACTGCTCTAAAAACTCAGCTCCACCTTTGGAAAGAAGCCTTCTCCTTGAAATACTGTGTTAAAAGACAATCTGTGATTTCACTTACATGTGGTACCTAGAATTGGCAAATTCATAGACACAGTAAGTAGAATAGAGGTTACCTGGGTGTAAAGGGGTCAGGGCAGGGGGTGGCAATGGAGAGTTATTGTTTGTTTAATAGGTGCAGAGTTTCGGTTTGGGGAGATGAAAAATTTCAGGAAGTTGGTGGTGGCAAGGGTTGCGCAACACTGTGAATGTACTTAATGCCACTATATTGCATACTTAGAAATGGCTAAGATGGTCAATTTAATGTATGTGTTTCACCACCATGTTTAAAAAAGACAAAAGTCCTCAGGAGGTAGAGAAAAAGCTGCAGGGGTCAAGGCAAAGGCATGGAAGCCAAGCCTTGTCACTTAGGTTATGTTTTTGCCTATAAATCTTCTCTGGGTAATTTGGGCCCCTGCAGAAACATAACAGGAACTGATGACCAAGTACAGCAAGCCATGAACTCTCTCAAGGAGATTGGATTTATTAACTATTACGGAATGCAAAGGTTTGGAACTACCGCTGTCCCCACGTATCAAGTTGGAAGGTTTGTATTTAATTTCTTAACTTTTGTCTAAAAGAGCTCTCTCATTAAAAAAAAAAAAGGAGCAGGGTTTTTTGTTGGTGGTGTTTTTAATTATTTCTAGAATTCTTCATGTAAATCTGGGCCAAATGAACCACTGTGTCTCATCTTTTTGGGTGACCAGCTGATCCACAGCCTCCTCCTAAGTTTTGTTCTGTGTCAAAATAATACATGCACTGGGTGAAAAAAATAAAACCGAGCTCAAAAGGATGTAACCTGGAAAGTAAGTTTCTCTCTCTCCCCTGACAGCCCATCCAGGGATTCTGTTTCACTTTCTTTTTTACAGTTGAATCTTGGCTCAGTAAGTGACCTCACAACAGCAGTTGGGTGTCTCAGACCCAGAGTGGCCTGACGGAGATGGTGGAGTTTATGGTCTCTGTTAACAAGCGCTTCCTGGTCCTTAACCTTGCACCTGCCCTTCCCTCTCCCTTTAAAGAAAGTGGTGTAGGACGTAATTAGCAAGTAAAATTTGTTTTATGAACTCTCTGATTAGCTTTTAGATAATAGGAAATCCCTCTAGAGTAAGCGAGGGTGGAAATCCCACCAATAAATACTTGTGTTTATAAACCTGCTTACGCTGTCCTGCCCGGCAGGGACTGTGTTGCATAAATAGTTACTCACGTGGCAGTTAGAGTTGTGGAAGTTTGAGTTGAAAGTGATCTGAGAGATTATTTAGTTCGTGTTCTTCCCAGTACTTGAAACCTTCAGTTTTAGCAAAGATGGATCTCGGTTAGGGAGGCTGCCTGCACTCAGCGGTTGGTCGGCTGTAATCCTGTGAATGGAGGGTTTTTCTTGACTTACAGTCCACGGTCTCAGCAGCTGACTCCATAAAGCTTCATTTGTTCGTGCATTTTTAAAATCACAAAATGAAAAATATTATGTACTATTTCTTCTACCTCTTTGAGGCAGTGTTTCAAAGGTTAAAAGCTCAAGTTTCAGAGCTTTGGAGTGAAGTCAGACTTGAGTTCTGAGCCCCTCAGATTCCTCACCTGTAAAATGAAGATGGTAATCCCAAGCCTCACAGGGGTGGTGAAAATGAAGTAAGAAAAGTTATGCAGCACATGTTTCTATGCCTAGCATATGGGAAGTGTTCAGTAAATAGAAAGTAATATTTTAAAATTAAAACATCCTAATCAGAGAAAAAATTGTTGCCAAGAAGATAGCTATAGTAAATAATGATCACTATTATTAGATAATAAACGATATGTATTCAACTTGCTCATGTTCAGAGGACATTGATAATGAAGATGCTGATTGTTTTATGGGAGAATAATTTGGCCTAACAGCAACCATAGGACCTTGTAAATTTTGCACTCCAAAGATAATGTAAAGTAGCTAAGAGGATGAGATCAGATTTATTGAGGAGGAAAAATTGCATAACATGCCCTAAGTATACAGTCTGTATAAAATATGTTCAAAATTCCTAACCAACGATTTTTACAGCATAAGAATGTTTCCTAGCTTTCAAATTAGCCCACTGTTACCATCTAAAGAAAAAAAATCTGTTTATAGTTTAAAGGTGGAAGAATGACTTGTATCCAAAATATTTAAGAACTCTTGCAACTCAAACAAAACAAAACAAAACAAAAAACCCCAGAAAACTCAACCTAAAAATAGTCAAAGGATCTGAATAGACATTTCTCCAAAGAACATAGACTAAAGACCAGTAAGCACACAAGAAGTTGCTTGACATCATTAGGGAATCACTAAATCATTAGAGAAAAGCAATTCAAAACCTCGGTGAGATACCACTTCTCACCCACTACGATGGCTAAAATCAGAAAGACAGACAATAAACAAGTGTTGGTGCGGGTGTGGAGAAATTGGAACCCCCATGTGCTGCTGGTAGAAATCTAAAATGGTACAGCCATTTTGGAAAACAGTCTGGCTGTTCCCCAAAAGGTTATAGTTACCATATGACCAACCCAGTTATTGCATTCCTAGATGTATACTCAAGAGAATTGAAGACATATGTCCACACAAAAATTTACACTGATGTTTATAGTGGCTAAAATTCTGTAAACAACCCTGGTGTCTGTTAGCTGATAAATGGATAAACAGAATGTAGTATATTCATGTAATGGAATATTGTTTGACAATAAAAGGGAATGAAGGACTCATACATGCTACAACATGAATGAACCTTGAAAACATGCTGAGTGGAAGAAGCTAGTCACAAATGGCAACATACTGTGTGATTCATTATATATGAAATGTCCAGAGTAGGCAAATATGGAGAACCAGAAAGCTGATGGGGCAGGGGTAATGGAGAGTAAGTAGCTGCTGATACTTAGCATAGGGTTTCCTCTTTGGGTGATAAAAATGTTCTAAAATTGATTGTGTAATGTCACACAATTCTGTGAGTATGCTAAGTCACTGAGTTGTGCACTTAAAGGGTAAATTATGTGGTATGTGAATTATACCTCAGTGAAACTCTTTTTAAAAAGATAGAATAAATCCTCATATATATGTATATGTATATAGTCAGATGATTTTTGACAAGTGACAAGATCAGTTCAAGGTGAAAAGGGCAACTTTTCAGCAAATAGTGGGGAAAGCTGGATATCCACATGCAGAAAAACCCAGATGGATGCTTACTTTTACACCGTATAAAAAATAAACTCATGTGTCAAACACATAAATGTAAGTGCTACAACTATAAAACTAGAAGAAAATGTAGTGGGTAAACTTCATGACATTTGATTTGTCGATAATTTTTTTGGATATAACACCAAAAGCATAGGCAGCAGAAGGAAAAATTAGATAAGATGGTCTTAATAAAAATTTTAAAATATTTAATATCTAAAGGACACTATCAACAGAATGAAAACAGAGTGGGAGAAAATATCTGCAAATCATACATCTGATAAGGGATTAATATCCAAAATATATAAAGAGCTCTTAGAACTCAACAACAACAACAAAAAAAAACCCTAATTTTAAAATGGGCAAAGAACTTGATTGTCCTCCAAAGGAGATTGAGAGATGACTAATAAGCACATGGGAGGATGTTCAGCATCACTAATCATTAGAGAAATTGTCATCGAAACCACAATGAGATACTACTTTATACCCATTAGGATGGGTATTAATAACAAACAGAAAATAAGTGTTAGATGTGGAGATGCAGAGAAACTGGAACCTTTGTGCATTGCAAATGAGAATGTTAAATGGAACACCACTATGGAAAATGATACGGCGATTCTCCAAAAAATTAAACATAGAATTACCCTATGATCCAGCATTTCCATTTTTAGATATATACCCAAAAGAAGTGAAAGCAAACACTCAACAGATATTTATACACCTGTGTTCATAAGAGCAGTATTGGCAAATGGTAGAAGCAACAAAGTGTTTAACAGATGAGTTGATAAACAAAATGTGGTGCGTAGATGCAGTGGAGTATCATTCAGCCTTAAAAGGAGGGAAATTCTGACATATGCTACAACATGAATAAACCTTAAGACTTTTATGCTGAGTTAAATAAGCCAGTCACAAGGGGACAAGTACTATATAATTTCTCTTATCTGAGGTTGCTAAAGTAGTCAAATTCGTAGACAAAGTATAACGGTGCTTGCCAGGAGCTGAGGGGACGGGAAACTGGCAGTTACTGTTTAACGTGTACATAGTTGCAGAAGATGAAAAAAATTCTGAAGACAGGTGGTCCTTATGGTCATACAGTGTGAATGTACTTAGTGCCGCAGAGCTGTACACTTAAAACTAGCTAAAATGATCAATTTTATGATATGTATACTTTTCTACAATTAAAAAAGATAGAAGAAGGAAAGGTAGCATAAGTAGAAACCACTTTAATGTGTAGCGGGCTGGATACGACGGCCTGTTGTAAATCCAACATATCCGTCTTTAACATGGCAGTGTTTACTGAACCTCCACGTGTAGGGTAGTAAGAAACTTTAATATATTAGACCAGATGTTGGCAAACTTTCTGTAAAGGGCCAGGTAGTAAATCAGTATTTAGGCTTTGTGGGCCACAGAGTGTTTGCAGCAGCTGCTCAGCACTGCTGGTGCAGTGTGAAAGCTGCCACAGATGGTATATAAATTAATACCAGCTGTTTTCCAGTAAAACTATTTACAGAATCAAGTGGCCAGCCAGATAACAAAGGTTTTTGGGCACAGAAGTCTTTTTCCATGGTATATGGCAGACCAGTGCCTTGTCCTGAATTAGTACTGTATTCTTTTTGGAAATGGGACTGAAGGCCTAGCCAGCTAAGTAATGGGTCACTCAGGAATATATTTAAAGATTGATAGAGCACGGCTTGTTGCAGGACTTCAGTGGGGTATCTGTTAATGTCCTTCATTGCATTAGTGGATTAAAAATCTATATGATCACATCAATAGATAAACAGCATTTTATATAATTTTATACACAGAAATATCTCATGTAAATTAACTTAAATGCAAAAAATAAAATCCTTAATTAACTAGAAAACAGAAAAATTAGTGGAAGAAATTTCTATTTTGTTATGTGGGGAAGTCCTTTCTAAGCGCGACTCCAAGACCAGAAATCTTACCAGAAAAAAATGTTTGGATATGACACACAAAATATAACCTGTGTATGGGAAAAGATAGTATCATTAAAGGAAAAACTGCATACACCTACAGATCAAACAAGTCTCAAAAAACTACACTCTGAAGTGTTAACAGTGTTTATTTCTTAGAGTTTAGATAATAAGTGACCTTTCTTAGTACTGTTTAATTTTTAAGAAGCATGTATAACTTACAATCAGCAAAAGTAAAGATACATAGAGGGAAAATTTTTTGAGACATTTCCAGTAGGTTCTGGTACATTGAGGACTTAACTTTGATTTCTGCAGATAATACTATGTATAACAGTTTAAAGCATGACACGGTGGTATTTTTACTATTATAGTATTTTTAAACTGTGAAATGATGTTAAATGTTGTGAGTAAACTCTACATTCTGAATTTTCTTCTGTCTCTTAAGTTCATTTGACATTTACATTTGAAATCTATATTGTTATATTTGTTTTTCTGCTTTTAAGTTTAATAAAATATATAAAGTTAATATGATCTATTGACTTCATAGATTTGGGCAGATAAAATTCATCTCAATGCAAATTTAAGTAAAATAAATGTTGTTTAATTTTAGAGCTATACTACAAAATTCTTGGGCCGAAGTCATGGATTTAATATTGAAACCCCGCTCTGGAGGTGAGAAAAAAAAATAGTCTTAGGGAAAAAAAAAAGTATGAGTAGGAATTCATGAAATTGCTTTGAATAAAAGTATAGGTGCAAGTTGAGGTCATTATTTCAGAATTTTAAAAAATTGTTTTTAAAATAAAAGATATAGTTTATATCTATTTTTATGCAAATTGTATGTATATATTTGAGATTTGTTAATTCATATGTTATTTTCAGTTCTTTGGTTCATCTAATTTATTAATTCATAAATTATTACATTCATTTTTTTTTTCTCCATGCACACGAAATTGCTGAACGTATAGGAATCCAAACAGATTTCTCTGGTAGCTAAATAGAATATAAAAACTTGACAAAAACACATTGTGGATTTTCAGTTTGAAGAGTTCATTAAAAACTCTAAAGTCATACTGTATGAAAAGGATTTAAATACTACTTTACAAATTACCAAAATAAGTATGCCCACTTTGAGTAATTATTCATTTGCAAATTAAAAAGATAAAGTCGTCTAATTTTATCAAAAGTAAGCCATCAAATTTGACAATATGGTAGAAAAGAGCAGGAAGGAAGGACTCCCAGTGTTTTGTCTGATACTGAGTCAGCTTGATAATGAACAAGTCAGTCACTGGCTTTAAGTCCTGGCGTGGCAGCATGTTGAAAGCCACCTAGTCCTGTAAGCTTTCTGCCTTTCCCATCTTTTCACTTCCTGATGGTTATTCCTGGGCCAGGTGAGCGGAAGCCCTTCAAGGTACCTTTATTTACAAATAGCATTTTCTAATTTTGTGTTCTCTGTGAAGTGTTTCAGGTTATAGAAGTCTGTCTCCCGGACACATTGTTTGATCACAGCTTTTTTTCTCCCTCCTCTCCCAGCTGAAAAGGGGTACTTGGTCAAATGCAGGGAGGAATGGGCGAAGACCAAAGACCCAGCCGCTGCCCTCCGAAAACTGCCTGTCAAAAGGTGTGTGGAAGGGCAGCTGCTCCGAGGACTTTCAAAGTACGGAATGAAGAACATAGTCTCTGCATTCGGCATAGTGAGTGCGACTTGTGAAGCCAGGCATAACTCAGGGCAGCTTAAGGCTGTCAGACTTCACCTGTAAATGTTTTACTGAACTTTGAAAGAGCAGAAGGTAACCAGGGATCCTTTGGGGGTCTCTGAGAGGTGTTCCCTGAGCGATCCTCTCCTCGTGCAGACTGATGGTGGCGGGAGAGGGTGCTGGGAGCAGGCAGTGGAGGGCCTGAGAAAAGCATCGGTGCGGAAAATACCATCTCCCAGGAAGTTCAGTTTAAATTAGGTATCTTGGCACCTGAGAAACTCAGTCCCCATCACAGAGTTTGTTCGTGGGTCCTTCCCCAACGTCAGAGCTGTGACCTGCCGTAGTGAGGGTCGCACAGTGAGTGGCCTCAGTGACTACAGTTTAGTGTGGTTTCTTCATGGTGACTCGAGAGTGGGTGCCATCCTGGTAAGTGTGGCCTGTGCTAGTGTTCAGGTTCCCTGATCCAGACAGACTGAAGTTCACCTCTTAAATGTAAGTCTTACTTACTCTTCTCCAGGTGTCCCAAAAAAGGCAGGATTCCCGCTGCATCAAAGTAGTTGTCAGTTCAGTTATTTGGGTTTTCCCCTTCCATATGTGGGAGAAAGCACTCTTGGCTTTCTGACTGATGTGTAAATTCCTTGAGTTCGCAGCCTGTGTCTTAGATTTGGGGTGGGAATTCCAAGCACTTGCTTTCCTCGCACACAGTGCCTGCTCTACGGGGATGAAGCAGAGCTGCTGTAGCTGCTGCTGATTGTGAACACCCTTTAGTCTGAGGGCTTCCGTCTCTGAAACTGATGGTTATGTGTCAGTCCCTGTTTCTCTAGGCTCTTAGAAAAATGGGAGATTTAAGTTAAGAGCTTCTTAAGGGGCACCGCTGAACAGTGGGATGTCTTGGAAAGGACAGTACTTTTAATATTCAGTGTATTTTTTTCTCTTGCCTGTTTTCTTTTGTTGTTGTTCCCTCAGATACCAAGAAATAACCGCTTAATGTACATTCATAGCTATCAGAGCTATGTGTGGAACAACATGGTAAGCCAGAGGATAGAGGAGTACGGACTGAAGCCTGTCCCAGGGGACCTTGTTCTCAAAGGAGGTAAAAAGGCAGATACCATCCTTATTCAGCCAAACTAGGGTTCAGTTATTTGACACTGTGCTTAAAGTCTAGCCTGGCTACTAATTAAGATAGAGAGCTGTCTGATAAGCTTGAAATGGAAGGACATTGTAAGCCCAGACTGACTAGTTTGGATTTGTTACCTTTCATGAAGGATATGCATCTGATTTGAAAATATGCTCCTGACTCTCTATGGGCCTCAGGTTTCTCAACTAGAATAAGATTTGAACTAAATGTTGCCTGCAGTCGCACTCTCCAAACCCTAATCTTGGTCTCGCCAGTACTTCTCTATGCTTCTGGGTGTACTTTAGCCTCCCTGCCATTTGTCAGCCAATTCTCAAGAGTTTCTTTAAGTCAACACAACGCTGGAGCTCACTTTATGTGCGAGTTGTGATGTAATAGACATTTAGTGCATACGCCATGCCTGAAATGTTCATAAAACGTGCAAATCATCCCATCTGCTTTTGAGCCCTTACTGTGTGCCAGGCTTTGTGCTCAGTAAGCCCTTCACCTACATCTTCTAGTTTAAAGCTCCTGTGAAGTGTTGTCTCTGTTCTTCAGATGAGGTTCAGTCACTTGCCCCAAGGTTCCACAGCTGGTTAAAAAAAAGAAAAGACTGGGAGGAAGAGGGTATAGCTCAAGTGGTAGAGCACATGCTCAGCATACACGAGGTCCTGGGTTCAATCCCCAGTACCTCCTCCAAAAATAAATAAACTTAATTACCTCCCCCTGCCAAAATTAAATAATACAATAATAAATAAATGAAATATTAAAAAAAAAAAAAGAAGAAAGAAAAGGCTGGGAATCAGAATCCAACCTGTCTGTTTCCCAAGTCCATGTTGTTCTGGCTTACCAACTGCCCCGCTACTGTCTGCAGACACAGCCTGCTCATCTGCAGGTGTGCCCGGTAAATCCGTTAAAGATTTTAATTTGTTTGTACAGAAATTTTAATTACTTTTTACCTGGTTTAATTTTTCTTCATCCAGTATTGATCACATCTGGTGTGTTTTAATGTCCCTTGTGCCACCACATTTTACCCTCTAAAAAGGATTTCTTTAAAAAAAAAATGAGGGTGCAGTTGAGAAACAGATTATTTTTAGTTTTCTACTTTTTCTAAATCCATAATATTTATTTCTTGGGTAGAACAGAAAAGACAGAAGACATAGATTCTGAATTAATTTCTTTATGCTTCATAGACCACTGAACCTGTACCAGCTTGCATTTCTGACTGCTTAGATGTGTGTAATTTTGAAGAGTGGGCTCGTGAAACTGTTGCCTATTTTCTTAATTTTTCTTAATGTGTTCTTGGTGAATTCCAGCCACAGCCACCTATATTGAGGAAGAAGATGTTAATAATTACTCCATCCATGATGTGGTAATGCCCTTGCCTGGTTTTGATGTTATCTACCCCAAGCATAAAAGTAAGTTCCCTATGTGGGGAAAATAAGTAACAGAGAATGTAACATAATTAAGCCACTGGCAGCCAAGAGCAGAGAGAGGGGGAAAAAAAATCAATATTTTAAGTCTAATTTTAGAACCTTGATTTCTATTTCAAACATACATAAGCCATGTTTATTTATAAAAGTCTCCCTGAAATAGATGTGTTCAGATGGAAGACTTAAATTAAGAAACCTGATGGTGGAGATGGTGGTGAAAGTATTGGTATTATTATTGTTGCTGTTATTATTGGCACTGTTACTTAAATTTCTGAAATTCACTAATTCTTTTTTTTTAATTGAATTATAGTCAGTTTATCATGTGTCAATTTCTCGTGTATAGCACAATGCTTCCGTCATATATGGATATACATATATTCATTTAATAATTCTTACTAAGGATGGAAGGGTTTGGAAAGAGTCATTGAGAAAGCAGATGGATACTACTACTCTACATTGCCTTTTTGAACCTTTTTTTTTTAATCATGTAAGTAATATCTGCTCATTGTGTTTTAAGTCAGTGGGCTCAGAAGTTTATAAAGTGAAAACTCAAAATTCCCTACTCTAATTTCCCATTCCCCAGAGGCTGTTAAAAATTGCTTCTGTACCTTCATGGATGCCACTTTGTGGGGAGAATTGCAGCCTCTATTGTTCAAGGATTCAGAAATTGGGAAGAAGAAAGGCAGCTCTGAGCACGAGACTGACTTGGTGGAACTGACCCTGGAGGTTTACTCCTCGCCAGGGCTGGTCTGTAGGAGGTGGTTTTTTGTTAAAACATCTTTATTCTCAAGAGGGTAGAAACTTATCAGCATTTTATTCCTTGAAATTATAGAATGATTAGGATTAACATCTTTCTTTGATAAGGCAAATACTTACAACAAAAGAGTTTAGTAAATCGCTGCCTGCTAATTTAATCTTAAATCGCTGTGTGAAGTTGATGTCACAGAGGGAAGAGGACTAGCCAAGAGGAGGGAGAGTGAATCGGGGAGGTAGATGAGGGAGAGGTGTGGCCTGCCTTGCTGCGGAGACTGCGCAGCGAGGAACCCAGGAGATGGGTACCAGGAGTGAGAGAAAAATGCTCAGAGCCACACTGGCCCTCTTTCCAAGAAAGAAAAAGAGAACGTTCTTTTCTTCTTTCTTGTACCTCTCAAGGTCAGAAACTTGGGCCAGTACCAATTAAGACATAAATTCAGCACAGCCTTTGACAGCCGTTGGTGGAGACCTCGTGGCCAAGACGGGGGCTCACAGGCTGGACGGGTGATAGTTCAGACACGTGGATTGGCAGCAGAGGCACACTTGGTGTCAGCGGTGCTCATTGAGGGATCCCTGTTGTCCTCAGTGCGGGTCGTGAGGGAATCTTTCCTTGCCCCTGGTCTACCCAGCATTCTTTATGAATGAGTTGAGTAAAGAAATCTGCGTATCGTATTTGCAAATAGTAAAACTCCAAAAAGTTAATATTAATTGTATGAAAAATAAGTATTTAAATAGAACTGCTGAGGGCCTTTAATAGGGTTAAATGTAAATTCTCATGTTTATGCTCAAAGAACAAATGCGTAGATGGAAAAGGCCCGGTTTGGTAGTAGTCTACGTAAAACGTATCCGGTGTCAACTGTTAACGTAAGCCTGTTCCCCGAGACAGATGAGGGCTTGGTGGAGGGTAAAGAGATGTCAAAGGGGGACCAGTTGGGGGAACCATTGCTGGCCTAGAGGAGGTATGGCTTAAAGGCCCAATACTTACGAATGCATATGGAAGAGGGCAAGTATTCTGTGTTCCAAAGCAGTCAACAGAAGTCACAAGAAGCCAGATTTCAGCTTGGCATAGGAAGAACCTTCTAATAATTGCACCCCTCACAAAGTAGTAGCTCCCTGTAAATGGCAACGTGCAAAGGCTGGATGACTGTCTCTCTCTGGTGTTATAAAAAAAGATTCTACATCAGGTGCGAGGGTGAGCCAGATGGTGTTCCCAGGTCTCTTATTTTTATACATTTATTTATAACTACCTTCTCCCGGAAAGAGTGAGTCTCTGTATATGGTCTCTTCCAACTCTGAGCACATACAAGTTGCAGTTGAGTAACTTCTGCTGAAGTGGCCTTTTGTAGCTGTCTTGGGGACTTTACACTCCAGGTACCGTGCCTGGCTGCAAAGATGACCCACAAGTTGGCCACACCTAACCTGGAAACAGCTAGTACTAAATTTTAATTCTAGAGAAGTCACTAAATTTTAATTCCGGAGAACAGGCTGGATCGTGAATTGAGGTGACTGATTTTGTGAAGGTGATATAACTGAATCTGTGTTACGCTCTTTGTGGTCTAGTTCAGGGTAGCTTGCTGACATGCTGCATTCCAACCAACTTTTTGTGTTTTATATTAGTTAGCGAAGCCTACAGGGAAATGCTCACAGCAGACAACCTTGATATTGACAACATGAGACACAAAATTCGGGATTATTCCTTATCAGGAGCCTACCGGAAGATCATTATTCGTCCTCAGAATGTCAGCTGGTGAGTGACCGTCCGGAATGAAATAGAACTGAATTACTACATGAAGTTTCAAGCTTTTGCATCACATGTATATTTCTCAGTGCTTAGAACCTGTCATAAAAGCATTAACTGTTGTTACTGATACTGTTCTCATACTGTTACTACTTGGTATTTTTCAAATTATCAAGAGATAAATGAATTCAAATATATAGTGAAAGTGGCTAAATTTACATCTTACTCACGTTAGTAAATTATTGAAGAAATGTGCAGAGAATGAACTTTCCCCCTATTTCTAAGAAGCAGAGATTTGCTAGCTACTTTATTCAGAATTAGCTGTGAGTTGCAAACACTGATCTAGTTGTTTTAATATCCTATTTCCAGAGAGAAAAAGATCCTTATATTAAGACACTTTAAACTACTTTAATACCTAGTATTATGTAAAGCTTTATTCGAGAATTTTAAAAACTAAAGCCTGAACTAGTTGCCCACTGTCCGGAAATTCTCTCTCTTCCTTCTCTCCATCTCTTCCTCTCCCTTCCCCTCTTCCCTCCTCTTTTCCGGATGGTGGGAGGAGGTTGGCAGAGTTGTAATCGATCTGGTCCACTCCGAAGAGCAGGTCCTCACGAGTAACAGAGTATTGTTAGTGGTGTTAACCACACTGGAGAAAATATAAATGCTGTGATTGGTTGAATTGCATCTGTGCCAAGTGAAGTTTACTGCTTATCAACTACATACAAAAGGAATTTCCATCCTAGGGAAACATTTTGCGTCTTTTACATAGGCTGGCGTCCTCTGTCCACTTGCTGTGTAGTATTTATATATAGAACTGGCCTTATTCTGTATTGACTACTCCCACCTAGAATTATTTACAGTTTAGACCTGTGTGTTTTCCTTGCTAAACAAATGGTGATACGCAACTTGGTACCTATTATGGAAATTCTCATTCACACTTTTCTTTATATGTTTTGAAGGGAAGTTGTTGCATATGATGATCCTAAAATTCCACTCTTCAACACAGATGTGGACAACCTGGAAGGGAAACCACCACCGGTTTTTGCTTCTGGTGAGTTTACTCAGCCATCAGTTCTGCGTCCACTTTGAAATGTTTTCTCATACAAAAACATACTAAAGAAAAAATCTGATAATCATCCCCACCCCCACCCACTCCGTGATTTCTATCTTGTGTTTTGTCAGTGATTGACTATCCTCCCCACCCTGTAGAGAGTGAGCGAAGGTGAGTGAGATTCCAGGAAGAGGGTCTAAAACATGAAGTTTGCATTCTCATCGTCAAATTCTGATTGCCATTCCTTTGTCTGTTTTCATCCCGTGCTGTAATTTTATTTTGTTTTTTAATTTTACATGCGTTTCTCTCCTGTGCTCTTCTGCCACCTGCCCTTTTTATGAAGGTTCTGGGTAGAATTACCATAGAGGTTCAGCTGGATGGTACTCTCACAGATCTCTTGCTTCCGCGTCTCATTCTCTGGGGCCCCATAGGGAGCAGCCTGAGGAAAGGAGCACAGATCTTTCATTTGTAGAGAGATTATGTGACTCGCCGCAGTCTGTCTGCAGCTGCCTTACTTTTCTGATGGTTCTCTTTCTTGCCCGGCAGAAGGCAAATACAGAGCTCTGAAGATGGAGTTTTCTCTTCCTCCTTCTACTTATGCGACCATGGCCATTCGCGAAGTGCTAAAAATGGATACCAGCATCAAGAAGCAGACCCAGCTGAATACCACCTGGCTCCGCTGAGGCCTTTGTCCCCAGATTAGAAAATGCAGACACGTGTTTGCTGGCTTCCTGTTCATTTTCCTCTTAGTACAGACCCATCTGTGGATTTTGGATCTTTGTAGTGAGAGACTTCGTATTTTTTCAAGTTTTTTTTAGCTTAATTTGCAATATTTGTACATGTATACAAATCTTGAGGATCCTGATTCTAGCTCAGAGAATATAGATTGGTTAGATATATTTCAGGTGCTTGAATCAGCTTTACTGGCTTTATAATAATTTTAAAGGACTTTGATTTAAAGTAGCAGTTTTCAGTTTTGCTACATCCTTGAAGGACAACAGGAAATTTTAATACATCCATGAATGGAGTACACCACAGTGCATTTTAAGAGGAAATGCAAAGAGTGATACCCCACCAACCTATGAATAGAAATACAGTAATCATGCTTACTCAAATGATGATAAAACATCTAAAGGTTTATGAACACAAAAGTGATTGTCATTATCCAGCTCATGTACCAGGTTCAGGTAAGTGTTCATAGGCTTTTCAGTTGCAACAGCTTTTGCATTTATTATTATCATTGCCTTGCAGGACAGTTGCATCAATAGGGCTCTTTTCTTGATGTAAACGTGCAGCTATTTTGTTACTTAAGGTCTAATTTTTACTATAGGTGCCTTTTATGTTCAGAACTCTTTCCACTGGCCTGGTATTTGCCCAACAGTAAATGATAGCAGATAAGAAAGCTTTTGAAACATAAAGAAGGGCTCCTCCTATCAGCTGCAGTACCCTTTGTTACCCCAGCGTAGGTATTGCCAGTTCTGGCCACGCATAAAACTTTTCTCTGGTGTAAGAGCATAAATCTGCCTTTCCAAGGGTGTGTGACATAATTGTACCAAGTTTTATTTTCTACCATTTCTAGAACCAAATATAATAAATATTTTTTAAAACTCTGTTCTCCTGGTTATGTTAATAAAATCAAATATCTAAAACTGAATGCAAATGAGAATGTAGGCCACACTGAAGGCAAGGAACTAAGTGAACGAGGACTCCTCAGAGAAGGTGTACCGTGACCAGATGTGAGATACTGTGATGGAGTGTCGAATGGTATGACTAACTGACCGTGTTAGACTGGATTCACGGTTTTCCTTGCAGTCACCCCGCTCACGTGCCTTCCGGTGTGCTTTCTGGAGTGGAAACAGAAAGGATGGAGAAAAGCGGCCCCCCCGGAACATCACGCCGTGGGAGTGTGGATGGCATGTACCCTGTATCTGGCAGTGGAAACAAGGTGGAAAACTGTTTTTCAGCCCTGGTATTTTACTGATGTCCATCACCTTGCAGAATTTTTTTAAAAAATGATCAGAACTACCATGGTAAATTCCCCTTTTGGCTGGCTGGTTCCTAAAGAGTGTTTTGCCCCACAAGGACCAAATGTATTAAATGTATATTGGTCTATTTGTACTTTTTAGGCCTAGCAAGTTGCTCTTCATCAGACTGATTAGTGAGAAAGCATTTATTAAGGGAACCTAGCTGCATACTACTGCAAGTGCATTTAGTACTTCTGCGTTTATAAATTTACATTACAAAAAAAAAGTGAGGCTTAACTAATAAAATGTTTTCCTCATTTGGGAAATACTTGTGGCTCTTTGTGGTGAGCTAACTTTCCTGGCTGCATTAGCTGACTACCAGTTTGTGCATGTCTTCTTAAACCCCGGTGGGGAAACAATGATTCAAGGCAGATTCTTAGAGCTGTTTTGAGACTTGGGGACATATCGTCCAACTCTGGGGACTTGGTCAACTTTGATCAAATCATTGCTTTAGCCTAGCTGTCAGGACATTTGTTGTTAACAAAGCAGAGGGGGCAGGATTCCTCTGAGGCAGATTTACAAAGCCTGACAGCAACCCCGCCCTCAACATAGAAGTGTCTTTGTTTCCTGGGTTTTTACCTCAAAGAAATAGTAAAGGATGATTACTTTTTATTATATAATGTAAAACCAAGTGCTGTTTACTAGTAGAAAAGTAAGCTAAATAACCACTGTCTGGCCATCAACTCTTTCTATTCATGGTTTCATGTAGCAGGTAATAACTAGACTGCCATTATACTAATAAAAAAAGACATCTGGTTGATTCCTGAATCTTCATGGTTGCATGTTGTGCATAATAACCAGACAACCATGATACTAATAAATTTTTCCCCCCTGGTTGATTCCTGAATCAACCAAAAAGTTGCTAGCAGCTGCAATAGCACATGAGTCCTTAAAACTCCAGCAGCTGTTCCAGGCTGTACAGATAACCACAGACTGGTATGTATTTGCACTGAAATGCATTTCATGGCCAATTTTGCACTAAAAAATAAGGGTGTGTGTGCAATACAAAATAGAGAGTATATATAAATGTTATATTAACTTCTCACCTGTGATAATGTGTGTCCATGTGGTATTTGGAAACATAGAAACAGTCTAGGAGAGTGTGCTGTGTGGTTAGTGTACATGAAGAATTGAAAACACAATGGAAGAACCACAAAGCTGTGGATGGCGGGGTTCTGCCCTTCATAAGCTGAAGAGTGTGTTTGTCTGACAAAGGGTAACTTTAAGGTTTTTCTTTGTTGAATGAAATCTGCTTTCCTGCTTTATGGGGCTACATTCCTATAGGATAAAACTCTGTTTTGAATGGTAAACTCCTTGGAAAATCTAAGGAACATATATGGACACTTTCCAGGGAAAAGGAAGGGGTAACGTGTGTATACAGACACATACATACACACACACACACATATGCACACACATACATGCTTACTTTTTATGCAGCGTTGTGCACTCCAGTGTAATATTCAGTCGAGACCCCCTACCCTGGATAAGTGCTTTCCAAACTTTAATGTGTGTATGAATTACCTGGTGATCCTATTATAGTGCAGAATGTATTTTAGGAAACGCAGGTGGAATTGGCCTGTGCTGCTGGTCTGCACACCATACTTGGGGAAGCAAAACTCTAGACCTGTGCAGACCAGTACAGCAGCCACTAGCCACACGTGGTTAATTTAATTTAACTAAACTAAACTTTAAAATTCAGCTTCCCAGTCCCACTAGGCACAGTTCAACAGCCGCATAGCCATACATGTGATTAGTGGCTGCTGTATTGGACAGCACTGCTCTGGATAACAAGTCTGTCATCCGGAATACAAAGGAGGCGCAACACCCAGTGATGCTAATGATTAAAGGCAAACACTCAGTTAATACACATTCTACAGGTGCAAGTGGAATTACACTGTAATTAGATCCGGGGGTCACACTGGCGATTTAAAAGACACGCTAGGTGTCTTCTTTACACTCAGTTCCACGCTTCTCGTTTTCTGGCTTCCTCCAAGATCACTTGTGATCCTTTCCCTTTTCTGCCTTTGCTTCCATGTAGATACCTTGTCCAGAGGTTTAATCAAACCATTCTTTAGGCTTTATGGTCTTATTGCTTGATAGGGGAAAATTATCCAGAAAATGTCTTAACTGCTGTTATTAAAAACTTTCCCTTTTGGTTGGCATGCACTGTAGCTTCTTATGAAAGCAGCAGCTGCAGAAAACAGGAACGGTGAGAGAGTCCTTATGATTTTGTTGTCTTGGAGGAGTACAGTGATGACTGTGTTACAGCTTTTCCACCCATGCTCAAGACTCCTGGAAAGTGACCAGTGAGTAAAAGAGATGGCAACAGGGAACTAATGGGAGAAGTTACTCAAAACCCTGTCTTCTGATGCATACTTACTATCCCCTCAAAAGCTCTAAATGTTTTCCTAGAACAACTATGTCCAGTAAAAATAAAATGTGAGCTGCATATGTAATTTAAAGTTTTCTAGTAGCCACATTGAGTTTGTTTAAAGAGAGACAGGTTGGGTTAATAGTATGTATTTTATTTAAACAAAATATCTAAAAGATATTTCAACATGTAATTAATATACAAAGCTAAATATTTTGCAGTCTCCTTTTTGTACTAAGTCTTTAAAATACAGTGTGTATTTTATCCTTACAACACATCTCAATTTGGACTAACCACATTTCCATTGCTCAGTAGCCACGTGGCCAATGGCTGCTGTACTGGATGGTAAGGTTTTGAAATATCATTTCTTTACTGTGTCACTGGTATAATGGTAAATTTGTCTTGAGTATTAAGATTTAATTTGTAAAACTGGGAGTATGTAATTTGGGAGTCAGGGTAGGTAAACGTGATTTTGAAATGCTTAATAGACAATTACGTTTTATGGTGACTGGGAATAAATATTTTTGCTATGGGAACACATAACAAACAAGACTGTTAATAGATTTGAAATATTTTGGGATGCTTGAAATTTTCCTTAAGCAGTTCTGATGATACCCTGCAATTTTCTCTCTTTAAATAATGCAGTGCTAATCCTTAGTGCAGCCTCTATTTAGATTTTAAATCCTAAATTCATGGAATATAAATTGAGGTTTTAGGGATAAGAGTGAAGATTTTGTGACTGGTTAGCACATAAAGCTGGGAACCCAGGTTGTGCAGGAGTGGTAAGGCGATTGAAGCAGGCCTGAGATTTTTGTCTTTTAAAAATTTTTTTATTAACAGCTTTGTTCAGCTATAATTTCACATACTGTACAATTCACTCATTTAAAGTGTACAATTCAGAGGGTTTTAGTATAGTCATAGTTGTGCAGCCATCACCACAACCAGTTTTACAGCATCTTTATCACCCAAAAGAGAAACCCCATACCCATCAGCAGTCACTTTCCATGCCCAGCCCCTGGCAACCGTTACTTTGCTGGCAAGAACTACTTTCAGTGTCTATAGATTTGTCTAGTCTGGTCATTTCGTATAAATGAAATTACACAATATGGATCTTTTCTGACTGACTTCTCTTCACTTAGTATAATGTAGTCCAGGTTCATCCATGGTGTAGCAGGTTATCAGTGCTTCATTCCTGTCCATTGCCGCATCATATTGCACATGTGAATGTACCCTATTTTGTTTATCCATTCATCAGTTGACAGATCTTTGGGTTGTTTCCCCCTTTTGGCTATCATGAATAATGCTGCTAAGAACAGTTTTGTTCAAGTTTCTGTATGGATATATGTTACTTCTTTTGGGTACATAGCCAGGAGTGGAATTGCTGAGTCATATAGTAACTCTGTGTTTAATCTTCCGAGGAATAGCCAGACTGGTTTCCATAGCAGCCGCACCATTTTACATTCTCACCAGGAGTGTATGAAGGTTCCAGTTTCTCCACATCCTCACCAACACTTGTTATCTGTCCTTCTGATTATAGCCACCCTAGGGGTTGTAAAGTTGTATCTCTTGTGGTTTTGAATGCATTTCCCTAATGACTATGTTGAACATCTTTTTTTGTGCTTTTGGCCATTTTCCTATGTTGTTTTGGAGAAATGTCTATTCAGATCCTTGGCCCATTTTAGAATTGAGTTATTTGTCTTTTTGTGGTTGAGTTGTAACATCTCTTTATATTTTCTAGATACTTTATCAGACACCCAATTGAAAAATATTGTCTCATTCTCATGAGTTTTTTCACTTTCTTGAAGTCTGAGTTTTAAAAGTTGCAGGAGATATTCTTTATTGAGTTTAAAAAAATTTTTTTTATTAAAGTACATTCAGTTACACTGTCAATTTCTGGTGTACAGCAGTGTCCCAGTCATACATACACATATATATTCATTTTCATATTCCTTTTCATTAAAGGTTACTGCAAGATATTGAATATAGTTCCCTATGCTATACAGAAGAAATTTGTTTCTTTTAATCTATTTTTATATATAGTAGCTAACATTTGCAAATCTCAAACTCCCAAATTTATCCCTTCCCACCCCCTTTCCCCTGGTAACCATAGATTGTTTACTATGTCTGCGAGTCTGTTCCTGTTTTGTAGGTGAGTTCATTAGTGTCCTCTTTTTTTTTTAAATTAGATTCCACATATGAGTGATATCATACA